CTGGCTGACGCCCTCTCTCTCTCTCTCTCTCTCTCTCTCTCTCTAAGATCCATTCTCGTTGGAAAGGTCTGTATGTTTTTTTTTCTTTTTTCGTTGTGTCCTACCGGTTGTCCAAGGCTCGGCAATAAAGTCCGAGGCTCGGGAATGACCGGGCTACCGGTAGCCTGAGCCACGGGCCTTAACAACCAGTAGGTACTGGTGGTTTAAGCCCAATCAGGTGGACTGGGATGAGAAACTTGCTCTCATCGCCAGCCTGTACAACAACACTGTGCACAGCGCCACTGGGGTACGCCCTAATAGTCTGCTATTGACTTCCAAGTCTAGACTGCCCCTAGACTTTCTACTACCTAACAACCAGCCAACTGCTGCACCGGGCACACTTGAATTTGCCTATTGTTATGACCAACTGATGCAGCAGGCAGTAGAACAGATGCATAAGGCACAGGCGGCAATGATAGAGTCTGAGAACAAACACCACCGCCCTTCTACATTTCAGGTAGGGGACAGAGTCTGGCTAAAGTCCTCAGAACTGGGACAGGAGCACGGGGTCTCCCGCAAGCTCATGCCACAGTACTTTGGACCATGGGAGGTTCTGGATGTTGTTGGGGAAGATCCGGATGGGCCATCTTATGTATCTGGATCCCTGGTCACCTTCACACTTACCCTGCCTTTCACGCCTCCAAACTCGCACCTTTCAAGGAAACTGATCACTTTCCCTCTCGTCGTTCAATGCTGCCCCCAACCATGGATGGAGAGGTCGACATCGATGACATCGTGGACCACNCTTTCAAGGAAACTGATCACTTTCCCTCTCGTCGTTCAATGCTGCCCCCAACCATGGATGGAGAGGTCGACATCGATGACATCGTGGACCACAGGGAAATGTCAGTTCCAAGACCAACAGGCAGGGGACGTCCTCCTAAGCCGAAGCTGCAGTATCGCGTTCGGTTCAGACATCACACTGATCCTAAGGAGGACAGATGGTTTACCAGGAAAGAACTGATGCAGACCGCTCCACAGGCTGTCGCTCACTACGAGAAGTCACTGCAGAAAGGAAAGCGCCAGATTGAGTAATGGGACTTCTCAAAAGACTACCGAAGTATGGAGGAGGGAATGTGAGGATCAAGGCCTCGATACGCCCTACTGGGCCCTATTTTCAGTACAGTCGGGCACCCTAAGTGAAGGCAGGCTCGACCAAGGCCTACAGGCCCATTTTTGGGGTCACCACACAACTGGGGAAATTCAGGCAGTTGCGCAGCACCAGTTGGTTCAGGCTGCCTTTTTTCGTATGTAACTGAGGCAGGCCCTGGGCCAGATACGCAACATGGGCCGAACACAGGCTGTGGGCAGTTGGGCACAGGAAACCACCACAGGCCTTGGGCTTGATTCGTTTGGACTGGGGCTCAGCCTCACAGGGCCTACCGGAAGCTGCTGGACCAAGGCCCAATGCAGGCAGGCCGCACGCAGCAGGCAGGTCACTTCCATTTAGGAAAGTGCCTGCCCCAGCACTCCTCATTCGAGCACTGGCTGCATGTTGCGCAAGCGCTGCTGCGCTAACGCTGGCCAGCACTCACGAGCTCACGGGCGAGCTGGATGAGCAGGCAGCCATAGCCGAGCTGCGCTGCTGTATGCTGGATGGGGCGCATGGTGGTCCTTGGGTGCGCGTGGCATCTGTGAGTGGGGGATCAAGGTTGTGAGTGATACGAGAGACATACCTGGTGCTTGAGGCGAACGGCATTGGCCGAGATCTGCTCGCACTTCGGGGAGCTGTTAACGTCACCAGCGGCATTGTAGATAGGCTAGATAGGATCTGCCACTTGTAGTCTGGGCGCAGAGCGCCAGACAGGAAGTCTACTTTGCTTCTTTGTTGATGATGATGAGACTATTCCAAATTGTCACTTATGAGCTTTTGCGGTGGTCTTATTTGGTGGAACTCGTGTTGCAATTCTGCTTTTGGTTCGAGGTCACGACTATCTCGTCTCATGTGTACGATGCTGCTTGGTTTCTGAAGTTCGCTATCGCTCATTTTCATTGCAAAAAAAAAAAAAAAAAAAAAAAAAAAAAAAAAAAAAAAAAAAAAAAACCAGCGATACACTGTACACTCCCATATCTCTATTTGTGCTCTGTTAACTTGTGTTCATTTTAACTTTACCTGAGCAGGCCATCTGGACACTGGTATCCAGACCTTCTGAACAGCCAGATGCAGACATGACCGGATTGTCATTTGTGTCTCCGGATCATAACCATGCACAAAAGACTGTCCTGGTACGTAGACTTAATTAAATAAGTCATAACTGTCAAATGTCCATGTTTGATCAGGACAAGAGTAAAAAGGTCTACTGAAATACATACCTGAGTTTGAGTCCAGATGGACCCAGACAGGCACTCCTCCTTTCTTACTGTTCAGGGACGCTGGACCTGGTTTGCAGTAGGTGTTGCTCCCCACCAATAGATGGCGAATTTCTATTTAAAAAAAAAAAAAAAAAAAAAAACAGAAGGACCCAGACAAATAAAACAACTAACCCTGAGAAACCTGGGGTCGGTCAGATCGACAATGACATCTCAAGACCGTCGCCCTTTTAATAAGAAGGAAAGGAAGGGGGCAAAAATGGAGAGAACAAAAAAGGGAAGGGGGGAAAAAAAAACATTCTACTGAGACAAAGATTGCAATGAACTGGACTCCCTCATTCAGACCGCCTTCTGTGACCATCTCTGATTGAGTTGGACTCAATTCTGGAGTGACAGCATACCATTTCCATTGGCCAGGATTTGAAGGTGTGGTAGTGAATTACCGATTACACCCTTGTCGCTCGGTTGATCACAAGCTCCCTACAGTACGACCGCGAGCCTTAGCACTGTCCATCATTGGAGGAGTTCATTATCTCCAACTTAGGGCACACAGGCTAGGGATGCAGTCACTGCACCACCACCATGGTCACCTTTCGCCGATATGAACCGAAGATCTTGCCCACCCGCTGCAAACTGGACGACTCCCAATTTGGAGCGTATATCCAAATGCATCTTCAGTGAGTGGAAGCTGCATGACCAACATTCCCACCTGAGCGGCAGGAAACCCAAAGCGCTCCGCTCCCCCTTTGTCAGGGCCACCACTAGATGACGAGCTGTATGTCACTTAACATATGTTGTGGTAAAGGGACTCACCACCACTACAAGACAGACCCCATTCTCCTCCTCTGTGAAGATGGCACCCCCATACCTTTGCTTCACACCTCCAGCGTGTCTGCCTCTTTCACTCCAGAATCACAGTACCGGAGAATCTCCGTTAGAAGCGACTGCCGCTTGGTCACAGAGTCATAAGGAGAGGGCTGCAATTCCACTTATGCATTCCCATGGTGGCAGTGGTCCCGGCTTCACTGACAGAAGGCATCCTCTGATCCTACCAGACAAGCGGCCAGAATGGGGCGGTTGCTGTCCTTTGTGCACAACCACATTTCTCATGTCGTGTTGTACCACAAGCCATGCATTAAAAAATTCCAAGCCAGTATTCCGAATCAGTGAGCCGGGTACAGTTCTGGCTCATTTGGTACCAAAGGGACCCCAATGATGTGATGTGGCACTTGCCCCCACAATACGGTATGGAGGGGCATGCACTCACGGGGCCACATATGAATAAGCACGGTGTGTCCGTTTCCTCTCCACAGAACCACCAATCATCTTCACAGTGCCCTCTATAACACAGCACCATGCAGTGTGGCATGCTAAGCATGCACTGTGAAGGAACTTCCCCCAGCCTGAGGACCACGTCCTTACGTACAGTGAAGCAAAGCCCTTGTTTTGGTAATAAGACGTGCTCTCGTACTGCAATTTTACAATGGCATCTGGTCAGTCAGTGGCGACACAAAGAAGAGATCTTCACCCAATCGGGGATCAAATATATTCCCTTCTACAAACTTTCTAGCTTTCATATGATCACCCCGTGCAACAAACACATATCGTTCAAACTTTTCTTCCCATCATGGGTGCCCCCCCCCCCCCCCCCCCCCCCCCCCCCCCCCCCCCCCCCCCCCCCCTTTGAGCCTTCCCACTTCCCCACCTACCGACTCTGCCCCCATTACCCTAATTTGACTCAACCCTCAATGAAACACCCTACCCAGATGGGAATGTCCAATGCAGAATGGCGCACACATCTGGTGATATCTAAACTAATAGGTAGCACATAGAGCTCCGACTCCTGATCAGCGCCAAGAGCATGGCAGCTTGATTCACAGAGAGTCAAATGCAAGTCCTAAGCTGTCGCTTGGAGCATGCTGGCTCTTCCTTGCAAAATCCTGCAGAAGTTGAGAGACCATGTTCAATGTACTTGCTTTCCAGTGTTTGACATTATGCGATGCAATCGATGCAAAATCAATTGAAGAAACAGTGAACACCCACATGTGCCTTCCATCGTGCACCTGGAACAGCACAGCAGAAGTGGGACCATAGAGAACTACTCCCTCGCACCTCTACCCGCCCCGGCCAGCGCCCCCTCCTCTTTCTTCGACCAGATGTCTGGTCATGGAGGGCACAACTGCTTTATTGGGTTACCTACAGTCGTACCTCTACAGTTGTACCTTGATGAACTTGCTATGATCCAACATCCTTTCATCTGCGAGGGAGGGTTGGCGGCTCAATTACCACCCTGGTACCTCCAAACAACTGCTCCCTCTCCCTTTCACTGTCATAATCTACTACATGACAAGGCTTCGCTTTTCGACCAAAAACTTCCCCACGGCTTAACTCTTTTCTGTGTGTCCCATCTGCCTCAACAGATGGTTTCCCAGACCCTCCTCCATCCTTCGTAGTATTAGTATTAGCCTCCTGCTTCTCGCTTCCACCAGAGCCTTCATTCCATTGCCCGTCTCGAGGCCCACACCAGTCCCCATAACTACGGTCCTTACCATTCCCAAATCGATTCCTTCCTCTGCCTCGCATTTCCACATTACTGGCATCTCCAGTTGGTCCTTTCCTTCGCGTTTCTTCATTTGACATGTCGCAGACCCCTCCTTTATAAAGTGTTTCCCTCTTCCCATCACGACCTCTCCCTTTTGCCAGCTGCTCTGCACGGGGATCACGATGTCTTCCTTTGCCTGGCATTTCTCTGTCATTATGACGATTTCCCCCTCTATTTGCCGCCTTTGTGTCATCAGGAGCGTTTCTTGATTCAATCAACCGCTCTGGTGCAGTGGCATCCCTGCATCTCGTTTGCGGTTCTGCATTGCCGTCACAATACCTTCCTTTCCTGCGTCGTTCTGCATTGCCGTCATGCATCCGGAATCTACTTGGTGGACCACTTTCACAATTACTCCCTTTACCCAGAAACTTTGTGCCTTCGTCAACGTTGTAGCTGTCCCTATCGTCTTCAACAGGTTCACCCATGAGTTTTTCAGCACCTAATGGTCTCTTTGTCTTAAAACGACGCATTCTATCAAGATGCTTTCTGCACAATTGTGAGCCCTTCACGGCTGGCAGCATGCATTGCCATTGAGCAAGCCTGCCTTCCCCAGCTGTTTTCTGGCACCGGCGAAATGATTCCCCGTCTTCTGAAACTCCTAGGACCTCCCTCTTATTGTCCATCACTTTCGACCAAGTCCCACTGCACTGCCATGCCTGCTTCACACACACACTCAATCCTGTGCCTTTCTCCGCCGAGGACTTGCCAATATTGGCACCTGAAGTGGATGCCCTCCCACTCCCTCCCTCCCCCAGTTTTGCTGACCGGCTGCTAGGGGTGCCGTTTCGACTTCGACCCTGCATGCCAGAATGTGCAATCCGCGTCACTCCTCTCTCCATCCTTGCCTGTGATCGTCCATGCTCCTGAGCTCCATGGACTTTCTTGGCGGGCCCGTGGCCCAGATCTGCAACCCCAGAGCCTTGGACTTGAGCAGCTACAGCTCGTGGTGCACTCCCAGACCGCGGCCGCTTCACAATCACCGATTCAACCCCCGGTATAGGGACACCTGCCGCGCCTGTCAGGTCATGGCCCTTTTCTTTATCGGAACTCTCAATCTCCCCCTGCGCACTCTCATTTCCATTTGTGGGGGCCATGTATTTCCCTCCAGGTCTATATCCTGACGCCCCATTGCCCCCCTGCAGGGCCCCCCCATTCCTAGGGCCAACCTTCATGCTCTCCCCTGCATTACAGCTTGCGTTGCTCTTCACCGTGTGGTTTCCACTCCCATACACTTTCTTCTTCTGGCCACTTACAACACCCTCAACATACTTCGCCCGTAGTTTAGACAAATGGTGATCGCACAACGAGTATCCCTTCCGAGCTCGCAGCGGGCAATGCCAACCCTTGCCGTCACTCCTCTTGCATTGATTACCATCTGCCTCTGTTACCATTAATACTTTCATTCTCTGCAGAGGCCTCAGCGACGAAAGGTCCCTTATGTTGGCCAACAATGTGGTCGCCCTTTCTTCTTGGACTCCATCTTCCTCTTGGCTAGTTGACATCTGAATGCTGTTCTCATCAATCTCCATGTCGGTGGCACGTGCATCCGTGTTTCCCCTCTCGAGTTCAACTCGCTCAGCCATGTCCTCCACATTCTCCATATCCTCCAAGTTATCTCGCTCCTTCCCTACACCTTCTTTCTTCCCTACCTCCTCACTCGTCTCCCTCCTGGATGCCTCTGTCATCTCATGATCTGCTCCTGCATCCCGCATCATGTCATCACCCTTCTCTCCGACCACTTTACCTCCTTCCATATATCCTCGCCCTCTCAACCCTTTGGTCCCACTCGACTGGCCATCAGCCAGCCACAGCTGGCATTCATCGTCCCGTGGTCTCTTTCCACCTGCAGGCCCAGCAGTGAGATTGCCTTGGATCCTGGCACGTAATCTCTCCGAGAGCATGTGCAACATCGAGGGGTCAATATTGGGGCTCTCCCCCATTGGCCCGCAGGAAGATGCTTGCGCAAATCCCCCTGCGCACCCTGCTGCCTGCTCCCCGTGTGCATGATATAACTTTGACGATTGTTTAGTCGCAGTCTTCTCATTGAGTTGCCACTCCCGATGAGCCAATCCTAACCTGAGTTTCTCGTCCACTTTGGCAATTCCATCTGGACCTGCTGTAGCCCTTTCAAGCTGACCGGACGTGGTTTGTTTTTGGAGTGCTCTTGCTGAGTGATCATTGGACATTGGTGATGGAGGCGGGCCCCCGTTGTCGGGAGCTCTTGGCTGCTGAATAGCTGCACCGGCAGCTCTGCGAGCTTCACCCTTGCAACGCATGCCCTCTGAGCTGCCTGCACCAGGATAATCCGACCCTCTCTCTTCACGAATGCTATCCCAGCCTGGATCATCTCGTGCTGGTGCGCCCCCCTTTGACTTCCCGTGGAAGACCGCTCCTTCCCTGGTCCTAACTTGCGCCTTTTCGCTCAGCGATGTCCCTTTCCCTGCTGACCATTTCTCTCCTCCTCTACCCCACTCCTCAACTGCACTGCACAGTACGAACCTCCCCTCCTCAATCTCCATGAAGTAAGGGCTGCTCCTTAGTTGATTCGCAACCTGTACCCGGGGTAGCACTGCACTCTTTCCTTGAAAGCGGACTCCTCGATCCAGCATCTTTGAAACCATTTCCCTTGATGTCAACCCATTTGACCCCGACTCTAGCAGAACGTAATAGCAAGCACGCAGTACCGAGTCTGGAGGACAATTAGCTGGATGATCAGGATCACTATGGTCTGCGTCCGATCCACAGTCCGAACCGAGCTCCAGATGCATACAGGCAGCTTCCTGGGACTGACACTCACCCTTATGTGGACTGGTTTCCTTGCATGAACCTGCACAAGCATCAAACATCATTGTCGAGCGGTGGCACCATGACACAGCCAATGGTCAGCACCACCTTCCGTTCGTTCAATGCTGCGCCAGAAAAGCGACGCCGGTAAATCAAATAACTCCAGATCTACGAAGCAAAATGTGGCTCCAAGGTAACACCAAAAACACTTCTTCCAGACTCGAAACCAGGAACAGAAACTAGTCAGTCCAGGCGAACTTAGGCAGGGGTGAAGAAAGGTACATCCTTCCTTGGAGACACAATCCATGCTGTTCTTTGGACCTCCACGCCATAAGGGGGAGGAGCGTGAGAGTATACCTGTTGTAACCTTTTTCGACTTGCCGGTGGAATAGGAACCGGAGTTGCCGGACTGATGCTCCCCAGAATGGAAATGGAGCCAGAACCCTAAGGTTCTGTTTTTTTTTTTTTTTTTTTTTTTTTTTTTGTGGAAGCAAAATGTGCTTAGTGGAGAAACATGGTTCAGCAGAGGAGTTTAAGCCAATCAGCTACCGTCTTCACCCAAATCGAATGCCCGGTCATTGTCGCTGCATCTAGACTGAAAGTCGCACCAAATGTGGCTACAAGGACAGGGCGTTCTATTCGGGTGAAGACTAGTAGGCTCTGATATGTGTCTATGTGCAAAGTCCCATGCCAAATTGTAAACAACCTGAATGGAAAATACAGACCCAAGTTCGAGTCCAGATGAAACCAGGTGGTACCAAGGGGCCTAGCCCAGTCGGTACTACACCCATGAGCAGTGGACATACAGACCCAAGTGTGAATGCTGATGAAACCGTATGAATGGAATAAAAAAGTAATTCTGTATTAACTGGGGCCAGCAACGTCCATGATCATAAGTCAAGGCTATTACCCTTTGAAAAAAGAGAAAACAAATTAATAATAACAGTTCGAAAAAGTCCAAAAAACGTTGAGAAAACATGAAATCACCGGGTGGGTTTGAACAAAGTGTTCGCGTAGACCCAGAGATTTCACAGAAAGCATTGGCAGGTTGGTGACCGAAAGGGGGATACGGGAGGTCACTGACCACGAAACCGAAACTTTTGATCTGAAAATGAGATAGGAGGTGGAGGAAGAGGGTGCAAGGTGCTTGGCTATGGTGGATGGGTGATGGAGGTGGAGGAGGAACAAGGTGCTAGGTGGTCGGCTATGGTGGATGGCGATGGAGGTGGAGGAGGAAGAAGGTGCAAGGTGCTTGGCTATGTTGGATAGGTGATGGAAGTGGAGGAAGAAGGTGCAAGGTGGTCGGCTATGGTGGATGGGTGATGGAGGTGGAGGAAGAAGGAGATGCAAGGTGCTTGGCTATGGTGGATGTGTGATGGAGGTCGAGGAGGAAGAAGTTGCAAGGTGGTTGGCTTTTTTCCAAGGTCCAACTACAAGATGACCCCCCTTGGGTGGACAGGTGAAGGAAATGGAGGAGGAAGAAGGTGCAAGGTGCTTGGCTACGGTGGATGGGTGATGGAGGTCGAGGAGGAAGAAGGTGCAAGGTGTTGGCTTTTTTCCAAGGTCCAACTACAAGATAACCGCCCTTGGATTAAACTCGCTCTGGAAACCATCAGACAAACAGCTTGGGGGCCTATTAAATCTCCCCAATGCGGCTTGTTCTGGGCTATGACAAAACACAGGTCTCCGAAAACCAAACTACTGACAAAAATGGCTACAGACAGCCAAAGAACAAAGAGTCCTTTTTCTTGTTTCTTTTTTCGTTTTTCTTTTTTCTCCGAGGCTTCAGGCCTTGGGAGGCGTCCTCCGGGGGGCGGTTAAATTGTTCCGTGTTGTAAATTTTATCAGGTCCTTCTGACATGTAGGCTCAGCAATAGGCTCCTCCATGAACGAGTCCACTGTTCAGCAAAGGAGTGGGAAGACGAAAATACTACTCCCTGGACCATCTCTTAGTTCATACAAGTGGGATCATCAACAATGGTCTACGATCAACAGAAACACTCAAAACCTAATCATACACGACATCTCGCTCATGCAAGAATGATTCTGGTCATTTGCAGCAGTTAGATCGCCATCAGGGAGAGCGGGAGGTGTTCAGTTCAACCTCAGGATGCTTTTTGGACTGGAGACAAAGCATGGCTCAACACCCATCCAGACACCCTCAAGATGCTACTTGCGCACTCTTCAGATAACGACTTCCCCGCATCTCAAGCGAGAGTCCTTTGTCATCACTCGGAAAGGGGGGGTTGAATCATGCAGGCGCTTGTCTGATCAACCAACCAGCACTTGACAGCGGTATAATATGGCACCACCCTCTAGTTCGTCTTCCTATATAGTCGTATCTCACCACCTAATGGGTTTCCCCAAAACCTTCCTAGCCTACCTAGCCTACTACAACTAGCCAGAACTCGCACATGTCAGCGACTTATGCCACATGGCTGGAATCTATTGTGTTTGAGACTACATAAAGATCAGGTTCTTGCACTGCACTCCAGTCTCCCGTGAGGATGACCTGCTTGCGGATCGGGATTTATTTATTATTATTATTATTATTATTTTGCTTGTGGATCTGGATTAGCTTACAGAATGAAAAACACTTCTTTTTCCCAGGATTCTTCTTTGGACCTTTTACTCTGATCAGGGCCATCTCTTCTTCTATGCGTTAGAGGTGGATTGTCTGTCAGTGCCTTGAATGCGTAGACTTTTTGGCGGCTGATGACTTTTTGCGGGGACCACTTTGGCTGGGCTTTTTCATCGTGAATGTGTCCAGTACACCCCAGTACACTGCCCCGGCCTTGCAGAAATTTGTTCATTGCCTACTCCGAAAATTCCATGGCTTGGGCCTGCCGGACAACAATGGCTGGCGGTGCCAGCGAAAAACGAAAACAAATGGGCTTGACGGTTTGGAAAAGCTTGGCACGCAGTGCAGCGCCTCAGGCCCGGGTGTACACGTGGTTTGACATGTTGAAGCTCTCTATCTTTAGTCTCCCTAATCTTTTGGCGCTATCTGCTATTCGTAAACTCTATCTCCTATAGGCATACTATCTATGTCCGGTGGGTGTCTTCCATATGAGCCCATCTTTTCTAGCATCTTACTCCATTTTGCCGATTTCTCTAAAGATTGTACTTAACCCATTGCCTGTTCCTGAGCAGTCTCTTCTAGCATAGTAGGCATACTACCTATGTCTGGTGGTTGTCTTCCATACCAGCCTACGTTTTCTAGCATATTATTAGGCATACTAGCTATGTCTGGTGGGTGTCTTCCACACCAGCCTATGTTTTCTAGCATATTACTCCATTTCGCCGGTTTTTCTAGGATTGTGGTTAACCCATTGCCTGTTCTTGGGAATTGTCTTCCTCAGAAAAGCCATTGCTTTTTCTTTGGTTTTCCCTTCATTCCTTGTTCACCACCTCATGTAAGAATCTGGCCACGTATTCGTTTTCAAACCGATCTCCTGGCAGGTTGTGGAAGTTGCCAAGATTTCCAGCCCGTGCCAGGTGTTAGGAACTTGGGTGCAGCTCCTCGCACAGAGCAGAGATAGGTAGGAGTAGACCCATAACCTTAGGATAGCCTAGGATGGGTTAGCATATTTAAGGTCGTTGCCTCCCCTGAACAGATGTGATTGTGGTTCAATGTCTGTTGGTCCCTTGTCTGGTGTCTGGTTGCCTTGGGTTGTAGTGCCGGGCTGCCTTGGGATGGTAGGTTGCTTGCCGAGACGTGTGAGTAGGTTAAAATGTAGGTAGGTACGACACTGAGAGAAGAAAATGGGGTAGCAAAAATGCAGCGGTCCCTCATATGAGGAGGACAGAGACTGCATTAAAAAAAAAAGAGGAAAAAAAAGACATTTTTTTACCTAAAGCGAAGGATAAATCTGGGTTTGGTGAGGTAGGGAAGACACTAGCAACTTCTTTGCTCAGGAACTGACCGTGTCTGGCGTGTGAAATTCTAGGTACAAGTCTCGTTACGCTCAGGGTGCTATGATGTGCGTTCCATCTTTATTCTCTTCTGGCGGGCATCTCAGCTTTGCATCTCTTGTGTGCTTTTCGCCAAGGGCTTCCTTGTTCTCCTCTACTCCTCCCTGATCATTTTCCTTGGTTCCCGATCTCTCTTTTCCTTCTGTGCTTGTTCTCAAGGCCCCTCCTCTGTCAACTACACATAAACCCCTCCCCATTTGAGTCAACCTATGATGCCTTTCTTTCTAGTGCTCCCTTGGCTCATTTCCTTGTTCTTTCATTCTTCTTGTGTCTCACATCAGTTCTCTGCACTTTTCTCCTTGTTTGGAGGTTTTCCAAGAAGGCGTCCTGAGGATTCACTGGGGCTCGTTCTTCGGCATAAGCGACGGCAGGGTAAGAAGTCTACAATGACTGATTACCTACCTAGTGTTCCTCGTAAATCGGTGGCTCAACAAACTCAGGAAGACAGAGGTGCGCAGCAGCAGCACACATAAGTACCTACTACTCCTAACTGGTGCCCTCTGTAATGAGCCCGTCAAGTATGCAAAGCGTTCACAAGTAGATCACCACCCGAGTATCACCAACACATTGAGCGAACTGGAATCACTCTGCAGTAAAAAGATGTTCAGACTCACTCACTGTAGTCCCGGAGCGAGCCACCAGGAAAACAACAAAGGAAGAGAAGCAATGAAGACAGAGAGAGGGACAGCAAGAGTAATTTCATCAATAATCAAACAAGAAAGAATAAAATTGAGTTGAAAAGCACCAACGAGCCTAGCTCAGTTGGTAGACCCGTGAACCGTTGAGATACATACCCGAGTTCAAATCCTGCTGGAGGAAAAAATCATTCTGAATTACCTAGGGCCGATCCGAGCAATGAAGATATATCCTAATGCAAGGCCCTCTCAAAGAAGAAGGGGAGGAGACCACAGAGTAAAATTTAGTAGAAAGGAAACATAAAACTTTCATAGTAGTATGTGACAAAGGGGAAGAAGCGAAGGATGTAGGCACTCTGATGACACTCTGATTCTGATGACAGGCTTCCTGTTCCCGAGTAGTTGGAGAGGTTTTCAAATCACACCCTCTTCCAAAGGAGGAAAACTCTACTCTCTGGTAGAATGGAAGCGAAGACGCCAGGAGACAATTGATAAGAAGCTAACATCCAGGACACAAACATGGGGGGGATTTCTGCAGCTACTTGAGACAATGTGTAGCGCAGGGAACAGTCGACAAGACTGTGACCAGTCCTGTCGAGCTCGGGCTCGTGTTGTGTGGAGCGTGACGATCAGGTAGGGCGAGAACAGAGACGCGTACAGTCGTTCAGCACCAGTCTCAACTCACACTCACCAGCATCAGCACGTAGCACCACATAAATTCACTCTCACACGCATTCACGACACTTAGCATGCTTTCATTCCATTACTATCTAGCACTCGCTCAGACAGTGGGTATACACATGAGTGAATCCAATCTTTTCGTATCATAATAAATAGCACTGCAAAGGCAGCACAACATGAAGCGCAGTGATCTCTCCAGTCTATACACGAAGAAGCACCTTCCGGTGCACTATGATGCCCGTAGACTGTGATGAAAGCCGTAGCGTCCTGCCGCTCCCATCCTGGCGATGTGCTCGTAGACTGTGTATCCAGGACAAGGTGAAAACAACGAGGGTGACTCAAGATTGCCTCGAGAAAGCTCAGGAGAAAAGAGACAAGTCCGGCAAGATCGGGAGAGTAGTGTCAGAGCAAATAAAATTTAAGTGGAGGGAACTGGACATGCATCTGATACAAGGGCCTGCAACTTCATTGGCACCAGGCTCAATGTGCAGTGTGCAGAGTGCTTCAAGTCTCAGCCTGGGTTCACGGTAGTAGAGCAGAATTCTGGCTGTGGCCCTGTGGGTGAAAACCCTCCTCAGGAGTGAGGCTCTGCTGAGGACCCAGGAGTGTGCAGTGTGCTTCAAGTCTCAGCCTGGGTTCATGGTAGTAGAGCAGAATTCTGGCTGTGGCCCTGTGGGTGAAAACCCTCCTCAGGAGTGAGGCTCTGCTGAGGACCCAGGAGTGTGCAGAGTGCTTCAAGTCTCAGCCTGGGTTCACGACCGTAGAGCAGAGTTCTGGCTGTGACCCTGTGGGTGAAAACCCTCCTCAGGAGTGAGGCTCTGCTGAGGACCCAAGAGTGTGCAGAGTGCTTCAAGTCTCAGCCTGGGCTCAGTCGTAGTGGAGCAGAGTGCTGGCTGTGGCCCTGTGGGTGAAAACCACTCCTCAGGAGCGAGGCTCTGCTGAGGACCCAGGAAAGTTACCCAATTGTGAAGCGTCAAAGGTTAGCTCGTAGCGGGGCTTATTGCTGGCCGTCACCATGTTCGTGGGACTGAAAGGCTTGCACTGATTTTCAGCATGTTTTTCAAAAGGGGTTTGGAAGAGGAATGTTTTTTGCTCAACTGTGTGGGCTTGAAAGACGAGCAATCCATCCATGAGACACAACCAAATGCCATCAGAGTTCCCTGGGCCGTAACGTGAGGAAGGCATTCAAGATTATGTATATCTGCACATTAGACTTGCCAATGCAATGGAAGTGGACTGATGGCCCCCAGAATGGATACTGAGCCGTCCCCCTAAGCGTCTGTTTTCGTTATTGAAAGGGAAAAACAACAACTTTAAGTAACACTATAATTACCATAACAGATTCTTTTGGAGATACCAAATCTTGGTCCTCTTCTGGTTCAGTGGGATTTAAAGGATCTCGTCGTTCAACCAACAGTTGAGATAATTAAACATAATTTCAGATAAACAATGAATTTTGACTTTTGTTGTCATCCATCTACATTGTAGACTTTGTAGGGATGATCCTAGTGACAAGCATGAGCAAGGGTGCAAGTACGGATAAAGACTTGAACACATGACCTTTAGGTGTGTGGCATTCAGCCACTACACTGCTTCTGAGCGTCTTGATCATTGTAAAATTGACTTCATGGTTAGAAGATGTGATTTAAAAACAAAAAGAAAAAAGGCAAAAAAGGGTGACGGCCTTTCAATATCATCAATGAACTGACCGGCCCCAGGCAGTTCAAAATGTTTTTTTTCTCGTCATCTGAGGGTGGTATCTGGATTCAAACTTGAGTCTGTTTTTCAACAGTTCAGGATGGTACCAAGTTACCAACTGATGTACGCCCGTTGGTAGAAAATGTGATTATTAATTTGCTTAATTTGTTATGTATTATATATAATGAAACAGTTTTCACCTTTGGCAGTAGCCGATGCAGATCCCAGGGGTCGATCCCTTGACCTCAGCTTACCTGTGTACAGTATCTGCACAGTTCCCTGGAGTTGAACCCGTGACCTGCACGATAGCCAGTGGTAAGTAGGTC